TTTCAGAGTAAACCATCTTCAGGAAGGCATGCAGCTTATAATGGCTATGGCCATACATCCAGAAATTTTATAAAATATTTCTCATATAACATAAATAAGGCGCTATAGGTAGGCACCTTTATTACACACAACTTCAAATATTTAAAAAAGTTAAAACTATGTGTTAATTGATACTTAAAATGTTAAAGCCCCCCTGAAAAAATAACCGAATGGGCAAGAACTTGACAAAATGAGATGCCTGGGTCAATTATCTGTTGCCAGGATATTAATTAAAACACAATTTGAGATTCTAAACTACACAGTCCAGCAGCTATATTTTCCAGGGCCTCATGATGACGATCGTATGAGGCTGTAAATCACCAGTTCCACAGGAAAGGGCATATTTCAGGATAGAAGCTTCTGTGTCATCATTTTTTCCAGTTATGAACTCTATCAGAAGTCTTTTAGAAAACCGTGAAAGGGATTAACATCTCAAGGCCGCTTGCTTGGTTCAGGCGCTATCCTTAAACGCACTGCTGGTTTTCCCACTGCAGGTTGGTCTCTCTCCATTAGATGGCAGTAATGCACCATCTCTTCCTTTACACGCGGTCAGAAATTAGGCTGGAGAATGTCCACTGCAGGCCAAGTTTCTCTTAAGCCAAAGTCAGTGGGACACAAATAGTGGAGACAAGAATATAGAAGAGAGGTTTTCAAGCAATCATAAGATCAAGCTAATCCTGATTATGGAAAATAAAAGTCAACTAATGAATGAGCAGTATTTGTGAGAATGCTATTAATGGCATTCTGCTAATCTCAAAAGGACCTTATACGCAGAGAAGGGAAATGGAATCTAGAAATCAGTAAGAGCATTCCAATGAAACAGCAAGGCTGCCATCATTTAGAGGGTAGTGGTGGCTCAGTGGTAGATTCTCACCTTCAGTACGGAGAGACCTGGGTTTGATTCCCAATGCACGCCACGCACAACCAACGCCTGTCAGTGGAGGGTTGCGTGGTTCTATGATGTTATGATTCTAAAGGGGTTTCAGTGAAATTTCCAGACTAAGGCAGTCTAGGAAGAAAGTCCTCCTTTCTTCAGAAAATTACTATTTCTACTTCTGAAAATTAGCCAATAAAACCTATGGATCACAATTGACTGATCCACAACCGGTGCTGGGAGTGGTGCAGGACTGGGCAGCACCTGTTGTGTGTGGGGTCGCCATGAGTCAGGGGCAACGGGAGGCAGCTAACAACAGCAGCCTGCGATGAAAACAGTAACTGGAGACTGTTCCAAATGCACATAGTTGTTCTTCTGAATGAAAGTATTAATGGCCAGCAACAGAGTAATAGCATGTTAAATAAGCCAGCCAACAAATTATGGCCATTTCCCACCTGCCTCCAAACCTCCCCGTCCTCAGGTAGGGGGGAAAAAAAAAAACCACCTCATTCCCAGTGAGTCAAATCCAGCTCATAGTGACCCCCTCCTTGGGTTTCTGAGGCAGTGTCTCTACGGAAGTAGATTGCCCCACCTTCCTTCCACGCAGTGGCTGGTGGGTTTGAACCGCCAGCCTTCTGGTTAGCAGTTAAGTGCCTTAGGCACTATGCTTCAGAGTAGAGAGGTCAATAAATGAATTACAATTCAGCAAAGTACAAAGACTTTAAAAACAGCAAAGAATAAAGGGTATTATATATTACAAATGCTTCTTTGGATTAGTTAAAAGGGCACTTCTGCCTCCAATAGAGAGCAGGCATGTCGACATTTACCTTTTTTGTTATTTACACGTATTAACAGTCTCCATTATTTTATCCCTACTTTAAATACATACAACACCAGTGGGTGCTATGACATCAAAGCAAATAGAAATGTCCTTTACCAGAGGTGGGGTACTCAATGCCACTGCTTTGATGTGGTGAAAAACATGTGAAACTGTTCATCACAGATTGGTAAGCACACGTCAGCCCATGCTTACCTTGCTTACTGAGTACTCCTTCCCTGTCAGGGGCTGTACATTTGGAAAGGGGTTATGATTCTGTAGGGAGGTGCTGTGGGATTGGGAGAGAGACAGAAACCAGACATACCTAGAAGCAGAATCTCTGTTGTGATGAAGAGAATGTGAAATTGTTCACTAACAATTAGATTAGGAAATAAGCACAGGTAAGCTCATGGTTACTTGTGCTTATTGCATAATCAGATCCTGAACTTTACCTCTTGTTCTTGCAGTCCTGAAGCTACCCAACTAAGTTCATCCAGTCACCTGGAGTAGCTAATTTTAAGGGAGTGTGATAAGGGAAAGCAGCTCTGCTGGCTAAGTACCTAAAGCATTTGACTGCTAACCACAAGGTTGGTGGTTCAAACCCACCAACTGATCCAGGTGTGGAAGATGGGGTAATCTACTTCCATAAAGATTTACTGTTTTGGAAACCCAGTGGGGGTCACTATGAGTCAGAATCGACTTGACGGCAGTGGGTTTGGTTTAATATGGTTTGATGAGGGAGCCAGGACATACAGCAAGCTCTACAGATGCGACATTCAAGGCAGTGAATACTAAATTCCCTGGAAGACATTATTCTCTCCAGAAAGAACCAGGAAATATTCTGGGAGAGAGAATTAACTTAAAAGAATGAAGACTACAGAAGAATGATTGTATCAGGACAAGATGACAAAAAGCCAAAGCATTCAGAGCTCAAAGAGGAAACATGTCACAGGGCCGGAGATCAGCTGGCCCAGGAGGCTTAACAAGGAAGCCATTAGGGGCACCCTGCTGGGCCTAATTGTTTTTAGAACATATGGTACTTTGTGCCACCACCCAGCTGTGAACTCCCTGGCTTTTGTCAGCTTGTGTTACAACCTTAAGAGGAAAATAGCAGCTTAACCCCCCTGCCACTAATTTACTATATTTCTTATTATAACCTCCTGTACAACTGTAAAGCAACTGGACCCTATATAAGCTATGCCTCTCTTCCACTTTAATTGTACAAATAGTGTGACTGTCACAGAAAAACAGCATTGAGGAAGCACAGTTAATTGAAGCTGAATGAATGCGTAGTGTACTGGGTCTGCTTTCAAAATGTTAGTTTATGATATATTTATCTCAGTCGCTGGGTATGGGCCAAAAATCATTTAGTCCACAAGAAAATTTTTATGAAAGCTTTTAGCATTTATTAAAATTACGATAACTGGGTATTCTTTTGTAGAATAAGGTTAAGTGAAAAATAACGTGTAGTTATAGAATGTTGAACTAAAAATAAGTTTAACATAAGGAAGACAATAAATATTTGTGGAATGGAACGGAAACTATGGATGCTGAAAATTCAGAGAAATATCTTGTTTTAAAGATATACATGAACCAATAACCAAAAAACCAAACTAAACTCACTGCTGTTGAGTCGATCCCGACTCATAGTGACCCAATACACATTTCAAAAATTCTATGAGTACTTAAAACAAAAACTCTTTAGTAATAAAATCATTGAGATCCAGTGAGAAAAAAATTTCTAATTTTTAAAATCAAAGATCACACAACCCTTTGGTTAAGATTTTTACTGAATAAAGAAGCAAAAATTTGATAACTTCTAACTCGTAATAGTAAAATGATAACTATAACTAGAAAGATATACTTCCCTAGAAGAGTAACCAAACTGACATTTTTTTGTGTATTTAAAAGAAACTACAAAGTGAGCTTTTCATTGATGATAGTCAGCACATCTGCATCTGGATCAGTTTTGAGAACCAAATTACAAACCCCAGAAACATCTGTTCAGCTTTAGTTACAGAACTCACTCCCCACAGTATTCTTCTCACAGTATGCCATTCCCATGGTGTTTTTTTTTTTTTTTTTCACAGTAAGTAAATTGGCATTATAACTTCACAATGTATCATAAAGATAATGATACTATGAATAATAATTTTAACATCTTAAGTGAATAGTAGTTAGAAAAAAACCTCAAAGTCTTTTACAATACTGTTGTACGGTGTGAACTGGTCTACTCTGTACAGAATGACAGACTTTGCAGGCTTTAGACTAGTTACACAATCAGATCCCAGAGTTGTGTTTTTTTTTTTTAATTTACTAAAAATACAAAGTGAATCTTACTTTAGTGACAGAGATATAAAATGATTTTATAGCAACTGCAATGCACAAAGACAAAACAGGCATCAGAAGTTCTGCGTGATTATTTGATAAGAACATAGTTCTTGAGCTTTGCAACTTATCTGATTAAAAATTCAGAAATGAAATCTTAGCTGTGTATTGTACTCTATGAATTCAGAATTAAAATAATGTTGCCAATGCTTAATCGTATTTGTAATTTTTAAAACGGGGGCATTTTCCTTCATATTTATACTTATTATCACTGATTTGCTGAAAAATAAGGAAGAGGTCCAGAGACCAAGAAAATATAAACTTTCTTAGAAAGCTGACCAACAAAATCATCTTGGCCAGACCCTAAAGTTGTGAATTCCATGGACCCCAGAGCTAAGCTGGGGCACTTGAGGGAAAGAGTCGATTTTTCCAGGACATCCATCATTCACATTTTCCACTGTTCATCCGTTTCCCCAAGAAGGGGATTCTTCTGATCCACAATGTCATTTTTTTATCATCTTATGTGAAAAACAAGGGTTGTACAACAAAGTGATTTTTTTTTGTTTGAGACCAGGTCTTCCAGGTAACAACTAGCACATTTCTGGAGAACTTCCATGCTTCACAGAAATGACTAAACCAGGGCAAGAAGGACGCATCTTTCCTGAACTCTTGACTTCTCTTTCCTGAGGGTCACACCCCAAACAGAAACACCTACCCAAGAGCGAGGCAATGGGTAAGTTAGGATACCTTACTGTGGAACTACTTAGTAGGGAGGAAAGGGACAGGTCAGTAACCAAGTGTTGTTAAATGGATTCAAGGCCAAAGGCTTTTGATTTTTAAGTAAAGACCCTCACTTCCTGTTAATGACTAAGAAGAAGTCCAGCCTTGTCCAGGGAGATGCTGACAAGGGGTGCAAGGCGTCTGGCTTCTGGTGGCCGAAACTTAGTGCAGCTTGTTGTGCACTGGGTAGAGTAAGGTCATGTGTTCTGCCCCTTTGAAAGGCAACTTTTCATTGGAATAATAGTGTACCACTTCAGGGATGCTGTCAAACACGGCGCTCGTCTGATTCAGCGTGTATTTGTTGTCTTTGGTCTGAGCCACTATGATGTGGACACATCCTTGACTAGTCCTGTAATAGAAGAAAAAACGGAGGAGACATGAATGGGTGAGCTTCCCTGCTGGGACCCATCCCAGTCAGATTCACAGTAAATTGATGGGTTCTCAACTCCTCTTCCCGGAATTGTTCTGTACAAACAGAATGCATTCAACATCCAACTCCTCAGCGGAACTCTTAGAAGCTTCATAGTCCTGGGCTAAATGTGTTACTCTTGAATTGTTTATCTTGATACAAGTCATCAGGTACTTGACCAAGAAGAAAACTAACACACAAAAAAAGGAAAACCCTACTTGCCTCCAAACTGCCAAACTAGTGCTTGAGCCCAAGAAGTCAGGCACTGTGGTGAGTTTTAAACTCACCCCCCTTCACCATAGCTTAAAGGATATAGTTAAGGTTTCCTCTTACTCTTCTCCCAAAAGAACATGTGAATATTAATGAAGTATCTATATGAGATCTTATTGACAACAATAGTGATTTGAAAGGTGAGATGAGAAGCTTAGAGGGCACTGCGTTTATGTCAATGGTAGTGGAATAATCTAAAAAAGGATAGCGGGAATGTTTGTACACCTTGAACATAATCAATGTCAACTGAATTATACATGTAGAAGTTCTTGATTTGGTGTAAGTTTTGTTGTATATATTTTCTCCAAAAAAAAAACAAACCAACAGTTATAAAAATAAACAAAAACATGAATAATTAAAAAAACTGTTTCCCCCCACATCTGGAAAAAACGTCCCTAGCTGTATATGATGAAAGCTGGCACTGAAAGCTCAAAGATCTAACCCCCAAGCACCAGTTTGAGAAACAGAGCAAAGCCCTTCCTGGTAGATCTGGTGGCCCATCCCATTTTCTAAGCCATAGTGCTCAACCCCCCTACCGCTGTCCCCCCTCCAGTCTGATTGTTTCAGCTGCAGGGGCTCAGCTTCCTCAGGAAGGAAATGCTGTTAGGGCTCTTGACAATGATCCTCCAATATAGCACCACCGAACTCACAGAGCAACAAGAATTTCCATGATCCCAACCCCACCAGGCAGGCCTACCAGGCCAAAATGTATTTTCTGTGTATAACCAGAGAGAAGGAGTAATCGGCTAGTCAGCATTTCCTTCTTCATCAGAACAAACTAGTATCAAAATTACAGTTGGCATTTTGACAATCAAGGAATCCAATTTATTAAAGTCCAAAAGCCTATGGAATAAAAGAATAAATGAACTATCTTATTAGAAATTATCCTTTTTATTAGGAATTATTTCTCTCCTGAGAGGGCCTACTGTTAGATCAGCTAATGTAAAGTAGAAATGAACTAAAACCCAAGAAAACCAAACCCGCTGCTGTCAAGTTGATTCTGACTCATAGTGAGTGATTCTGTAAAACAGAATAAAACTGCCTCATTGGCTTCCAAGGCTGTAAATCTTGACAGAAGCAGACTGCCACACTTCCTCCTCTTATGGAGCAGTGGTGGGTTTCAACTGCCAACCTTCTGGTAAGCAGCCAAGTGCTTAACCACTGTACCACCAGGGTTCCTCTGGAAATAGACTAAAGTACAGCTGACATGTTGTTGTTGTTATGTGCCATGGAGTCGGACTTGACTCATAAGCGACCTCTCCTTGGGTTTCCGAGGTGGGATCACTATGGAAGTAGATTGCCTAACCTTCCTTCCGAGGAGTGGCTGGTGGGTTTGAACACCAGCCTTCTGGTTAGCAGTCAAGTGCCTTAGGCACTATGCTACCAGAGCTCCACGAGTGACATAGCACCCTCATTATCCTAAGAGATTGGGGCATTTGCCCAATACCAATTTTGCATTCTAGTCAGAGCATTTCATGTTCCGTTGTCCAAGCAAATGTATCTTATTTTCTGGCAATGTGTGTACCTTCAAATTATATCTTTTTTGATTGGTAATCTATCTGTGGTTGGAAAGACTGTCACAGTGTGCCCCTTCTGTTGTTGGTGGTGTGCTGTTGAGTCAATTCCAGGCCATGGTGACCCTATAGGATAGAGCAGAACTGCCCCATAAGGGTATCCTAGGCTCAAATCCTTACAGGACCAGATTGCCAGGTCTTTTCTCCCATGGCATGGTTGGTGGGTTCAAATTGCTGACATTGTGGTTAGCAGCCAACCACTTACCTATTGCACAACCAGGGCTCCTAGTACTCTTTCTCACATACACCCACTAAAAAGTTGATTCTGACTCATAGCAACCCTATGACAGAGTAGAACTGCCCCATATGGTTTCCAAGGCTGTAATTTCTCATAGAAGCAGACTGCCCCATCTTTCTCCCATGGAGCGGCTGGTGGTTCAAACTGGCAACCTTTTGGTTAGCAGCCAAGTGTTAAACCACTGTGCCACCAGTGTTTCTGTACCTCTCCTAGAGACAGGGAAAGCCCATGGGCTTAAATACTTACTTTAGTGCAATGGAGTACCTACTGTTCCCTGACTCACTATTTCGAACCAGGTAACCAGCTTCTTTGCAGGGTTGTAGTCGACTCTCAGCCTCTACACGGGTGATAGCACCATGATACCAACTGAAAAACGGGGTGGGGAATATCAAGAGTGTCAAAATACAAATCAAGGCAGGACATGAATCTATAAAGTGTTATTTGAAATGAACTCTTGGTGGATACTCAACAACCTAAACTAGATCCTGCTTGACATTTATAACAGCAGGCAGACCTGGGTGATCTAGGATCACAAAGCCCATCCATCCTATAACAGTGAGTTAGCAAGCCTGGTGCAACTGTAAAAGTTTTCACTCTGTATAAAAAACCCACTGCTGCTGAGTTGATTCTGACTCATAGTGACCCCCCATTGGGTTTCCAAAGCTGTAAATCTTTACAGAAATAGATAGTCTCATCTTTCTTCCACAGAGCAGCTGGTGGGTTTGAACCGTTGACCTTCTGGTTAATTAGTAGCCAAATGCCTTACCCATTATGCCACCAGAGCTCCTTTTCACTCTGTATAGAATGAAGCTTAAAACACGGGTTTTGTTACGTGGTGCACTTTCCATTGTGCACAAAGGCACTGGGCTTTAAAAATGGGTTTTCACTGATGAGCTCCATTCAGGAAAGTATTTGTATTGTGTTCCTCAAAATATGTGATGGAATCCGAACTCCTATACCTTCCAATATAATCCTATTTAGGAACAGATTTTTTTTTTTTTAATGTTAATGAGGCCATATCAATGTAGGGCATGTCCTAACCCTAATCACCTCTCGGTTATAAAAGGACTAGATTAGGTACAGAAGCATGCAAGGGGTGGGGGTAGCAGGTGGTGCTACAGGGAGATCACCAGCAAGGAACCCAAGAATGCTAGGGCTACAGAAGCTGAGAGAGACAAGGATTTTCCCCCAGAGCAGACAGAGACTGTTCCCCTAGAGCAGTGCCCTGAATTTGGACTTCTGCCCTCCTAAACTGGGAGCTCTGGTGGTGTAGTGCCTAAGGCATTTGACTGCTAACCAGAAGGCTGGTGTTCAAACTCACCAGCCACTCCTCGGAAGGAAGGTTGGGCAATCTCCTTCCGTAGTGATACCGCCTCCGTAACCCGAGGAGGAGTCGCTATGAGTCGGATCTGATTCAATGGGAGTAAGACCCTCCTAAGCTAAGAAAAAATTAATTTCTGTTTGTTAAAGCCATTCAGTTGCAGTACTTCTGTTAAAGCAGCACTCAGTACTAAGTCAGTATTCATGAACAAAGACAATTATGTCAAATGGACCAGTGTGCAGCACCCCCTCCCCAACCCCACCCAAGGCTATCTATCAATAAGCTCGTATCCATCACGGGGACAAGTGTCTGCACAGGACACTCACGGCTGCTTGTCCAGGGGCAGGGCTGGGTCCACTCTCTCCCCCTCACTGTGGTCGGACAGGGTCGGCTTCAAGATCTTCTGGGTCCAGCTCTTCTGTCGGTGGTGCTGCCTCACAGTCTCCTCCCTGATGGAAGGTCGCTCAGATCCTTCAAACTGGACTGGAAGGCAGGCTCCATTTAACATCAGAGGCCACCCAAGTGATCGACGAAAACTTCAAAGAAAAAAACCTCCTTGCCTGTCTCAGCTCAGCAAAGAAGCATTCTTCCCTTTTAATGAAAACTATATATAAAATATCCTGGCAGAGCTGAGCCTCCCGCTGGCTTTGAGATCTAATCACACTGCTAGCATCCCACATAAAGCCACGTTTTCTGTAAGATAATTTATCAGCATAAAACAGTTTTAGGATATGAGAGGAAACCACTTCAATATATTTCAGCATGTACTTTTTAAAACTTCTTAGTTTTATTGTTTTTAGAATAAAAGAAGAAACAGTGGCAGATAATGATTCTTTGCAAGAGTGTATATCATTCTATGAAACCAAATGAACACTTTTTACTAGGAAATAAAAAGAAAAATCAGCAGAGAAAGTACTGAATAATGCTATAAAAGATGCTACGACATCTATGCTGGATAGAAAATAAAGGGATAAAATGAGAAACACCTAGCAGAATAACTGTGAAAATGGCAGATGCCCAATACAGTTTTTGGGGGGAGCCTAAGAAAACAACCCCACTAAAATAAGATTAAATTAAAATGCTTGCTATCAAAGAAATTAACCTAAATCCTAACCACTTGCTGTACAGCTGATTAACTTATGGTGGCCCCATGTGTGTCAGGGTAGAACTGCAGTACACAGGGTTTTCAATGGCTGAATTTTTGGAACCAGATTGCCAGGCCTTTCTTCTGTGGCATGTTTGGGTGCACTTAAACCTCCAACCTTCAGGTTAACAACCCAGTATACTAAGCATTTGTATTACTCAGGATTCCTTCTCTATGAACCGTTTATATTAAAAAACAAAATAAAACAAAAAACACCAAACTCACTGCCATTGAGTTGATTCGACTCATAGTAACCCCCCCTTGGGTTTCCGAGGTGAGATCTCTATGGAAGTAGATCATCCAATCTTCCTTCTGAGGAGTGGCTGGCTGGTGGGTTTGAACTGCCAGCCTTCTAGTTAGCAGTCAAATGCCTTAGACACTATGCCACCAGAGCTCCCTTAATTGCAAACCTGGCTTTACTGTTAGAAGGAAAAGATATCCCTAAAATTTTAACCAAAGGTAAAAAAATTACATGGCCAGCCAAGTAGAAAAACTAGGTCCTGGGGAAGCAGGACAAAGAATTAACTCTAATCTATTGATAACCTACTTGTCAACTTTCTCTGAAGTTATTTTCTTTTTCTTTCTTTCTTTTTATTGTGATTTGGGTGAAGATTTACAGAGCAAATTCACTTTCCATACAGCAGTTCACATATACTTTGTCTCATGTCATTGATCACAGTTTACCACAATGCAACAGCTCCCCTCCCACTTCCTCCTCATAGTTACCTCTTCCCAGTGTCCATCCTTCCATATACACTCCTGCCCCCTG